TACTGCAAACAGAAAAAATGGTGTTAATAATGGCACTTACCCCATAGCATTCAATTAGTTTATATAAATTACATGGTAAATATTATTTAATTGTTATTATTATTATTATTATACATCTTAGTGGTAGACTCTGATTCATTTATGCTACATGAAGGATTTGTAGCAGGACTATTTTGAAAAATTATTATGGAATGTTGGAACAAATTCAGAGAGGTTAGTGGAAGGGAGAGAAGGAAGGAGAGGAAGGAAAGGGAAGCAGGCAAATGCAGCCTTGTTAGTTATCCCAAGTGACTGAATTCTCTGATTCCCAGAAGAATATACTATGTTACACTGTACATTTTTAAAAAGATTTTTATTTATTTATTTTTAGAGAGGGAAGGGAGGGAGAAAGAGAGAGAGAAACATCAATGTGTGGTTGCTGGGGGTCATGGCCTGCAACCCAGGCCTGTACCCTGACTCGGAATTGAACCTGCAACACTTTGGTTTGCAGCCCGCGCTCAATCCACTGAGCTACGCCAGCCAGGACACTGTACATTTTTTAAAGAACTGATCTTCTGGAGAGGATAGGGTTTTCTGATAACCCCAAGTCAGGCTCTGTATTCTGTCCACGATGGGACTTAGAAGAGAAGTTAAGATTCTGTCACTTAGCATATTTTAGAGAAACAATGTGAACTTACACTTTTTAGGCTCTCCAAGAGTTGATCGTCTCCCTGATATATGACCTGGAGCACATGAGAAAAGACTGTGTCTAGGAAGAGGAGATCAGACTCCATAGTAAGGCTTGAGAAATTCCACTGTCTGATATGAAAGATGGAGTGTTTCTAAGACACTAAACCAAAGATAGCTGCTCACTTCTGAGGTAGGAGATACTTATTCTTACCCAGGGGACACTCAACTTGCAATGGGAGGAGAGAGCCTCCTGGGAGGACATTAACAGCCCCTAGATGATCCAGGTGGAAATTTCCCCAGTGTCAAGGGTTGAATGGAAAAAAGATCACCCAGGTTTATGAGCTCTCAGAGTCACTGTCTTGAGCAGAGGGAATCTGGATGAGAAGTAAATTTGCTTTGCTGAGATGCTAAAATTTTACAGAGGGAGAATGTGGCTGCAATATTATTTTGAGGTATAAATGAATTGTTTTCTGTCTTTTGCTCTTTTTTCTGACCCCCACCACCACCCCAAAGTTGTCAGCTTTGTGGTGTATCTCAGCATAAGAAGGTGGCAAGTAAGAAAAACAAATACACTGCCAAGTCTCTCTTGCTTTTTTTTTCCAAATGTGTAAGCCCTAGGGAAGAAGATTTAGGGTGCAGGGGCAGAGACAAAGTATCTGGGCCAGAAAACTAAAAGGAAGAAAGATTTGCACAAGCCTATAAAAAGATTCTTCTCTTTCTCACACTCTTCTCCTTTGGGAGAAGAGGCAGAGAGAGCTCTGTGGGAGCTCAAGCAGCATATACTCCCAGAAGCAACTCTCGGTTGGCAGGAAGACTTAAGAGAGGAAGGGCTGTATGGAATATCTAAGTAGATGGACCAACAGGTGATCTTGGCAATGAGTTCCACATCCTAAATGTGTCAGAGATGTTAGAGAGGACCACAGCACTTGAAAAGAACCATGTGGGCAGAAGGCTCAGCAGTAACTGACAGAATCTAAGGATCTGCAAGCATATATACATACTCTACCCACTCATGGGCCTGAGCACTACAGAAGATCCCCAAAACATGGCATCACCTGGGATAAGGGAAATGAACACCCAGAATGAATTATATTGTTTCCGCAATAACTCGGTAAAAGCAGCATCAGAAACTGGGTTCTAAACACAGTTACAACTCTATCAATGGCTGCAGTAGTCTGCTGACTATTAACTTTAAGGTTAACTTCCATCAGGGTTGCATTTTGATTTAAGGAGTTATCATCCTGTGTGGTAGGGAAAAGATCGTCAGTTAGCAATGCCATGAAACTAACCTACCATTTCTATTCTTAAAGAATGTGTGGACTAATGGATTCAGTGAAGGCTTTTGTAATTTCTTGGCACCAGAGCCCTAGCATAATTTAAAGCCAAATACAAGTGGTTAATGTAAGTCAAATTTTCTATTTGATGAATAGAAACAGTGGAAGCCAGTGGGTAAGAAGAGCATGTTCTGCTACGTGGTCCTTGTTGGCTAGCTATAATTGCTGACTATTTTTTCTGCCTATAGTGGCATTTGTGCTGTTATGAACAGGTTGTTTCAAACAGAAGAGCACATATGTCAACAAAAGGTCTAAATTGAGAAGAGCCTGTGCTTTGATGGGGAGCAGTCCTGTTTGATTTTCTAATTTCTGAAGTTTATAAAAGTCACACTACTTTAGATTTATTTAGCATATGTTTGACTGTCAAAGAGGGATTTCTCAGAAGGGTTCACATCTAAGCAGTTTGAGGGGATAAAGTTTTCAAGTATTGTTCTGTGTTGATTACATCATCAGGCTCAGAGACAAAGAAAGACGAGAAGGTCACAACCCCAAGAGAAGTACCTGTTACTTTTCCTAAAGGTGGATTGTGTGTGGTGGTGGTGGGAGTTGAGTGATACTGGAAAATAAAAATGGTCAGCACAAGTTTCTAATTACCATCCAATGGGGAGTCAGAATCTACAAAGATTCGGAATAACTCGGTCACCTTTGATATTGTCCTTAAGTGGTTATTTGGCTATGCTTCCTCACAGTAGTCAACAATTCAACGGGGAAAAGGGAGTATATTCAGGGGCAGTGAGGAAAGAAGGATTTGGGGAGAGCCCATCCATTCTACAGCTAATCTGGAATGCAGGGATTTCTAAGGTAGGGTGGTAGTGCTATTTGGAGAAATGTATTCTTTCAAATTTAGCCAGGAAAAAAGATCTCCAAAGGTGGGATACCTGGATCTCATAATTCTTAATTTTGTTCCCTCAGAGTCTTCCTCCATTGTCAAATCCAGGAAACAGGAGTTTGAGTTTATTAAGGGCAATGTCTGGTTTCCTTGTATGTTCTGGCAATACTGGGATTAAAAAGTGACCTTTGAGAGGAAAGGTGCAGAGACAAGATGCAGGACCACCATTTCATTTTATTTAGACTCTGGGAAGTTAATTTATTGATAGTTTTTTAAGAAGCGAAAAAGGTCAAGGTTCTGAATCCTACAGTAGGAACAGAAAAAAAGTGTTGGAGATAAGAGAGATTGGTATGACTCAGTGATAGGGCCCTTAGGCTGTGCAGTTGAAAATATTAGCCTGGCATTTTCCAGCCTCCGGGCATCCTACTAGGGCTTGAAGGGCACTGGGAAAGAAATCCTGTCCTTAAGGAATTTTCACTCTGGGCCGTGACACCAGATCTGCTCTCCGGGGTTGAAAATGCCTGGGTTCTAAAGTGATCACATACAGGTTCAAGTTCGAACTTGTCAATACATAGTTGTGTGAACTTGAGTAAGTCATGTCCATTTTCCCTTCCTGAGCCTCAGTTTCCTCTTCTGTGGAGTCAGGATTGTTCATGTAAGAATAACGGAAACAATTTTGTATTGTGCCTCAAGGAGTGCGGGAAGCAGTTCTTAAACAAAGCTGCTACACCAAGGTAAACATGCACCAAATGCTCTAAGGAGGTACCATTCACATCAACTAAAGGATGTGGGAGGCGGTTGGTAGGAGATGGTGACAGCCAGCCTCAGGGAGAGGTGGCCAGTCCGAAAGCTCACACTCTAGAAGCCAGGCGGAGGAGCGAGGGGGCGGGGCCAGGTCTCTGAAGGGGTTGCTATGGCACCGAGGGGCCAAGGGTGGTTAACCGAACCCTTAAAACCTTGCTCCCTCCCCCACCCGCCACTGCCTGGGCCGAGGGCCATTGTTCCTGGCAAAATGGCGTCAGTAATCCCCCTCCCGGCCAGAGGCCTAAGTAAGACTGAGGGTGGGAGTGGAACTGGAGGTGGGAACAGAAACTACAATTCCCAGGGTACATTGCACCTGTCCGCGAAGCGCAGGGCACGTGCCCAGGCCTAGAGGTTACATGCCGTCAAAAATCCCTTTCACAGCTTCCCTTCCCCATCCCTCCTTTCGCTGTTGCCCAGCCCCCGCGCGCGCGCACTGCAGTCCTGGGTGGTGGGGGAACATGCTGTGGCCGTTGCCCTCGCAACGTAACCGGGAGACCGGTATTTGTAAATCTGTGCTTCGACTTCTAATCCCGAAGCCGGCAGGTACGGGTATCGCGAGAAAAGCCGGGAGTTGGAAAAAGGGAGTTAAGGGTGGAGGTTGGAAAGGTGCAGGAGGGTACCACATCTCAGCAGAGCTACCGCATTTACAAGCGTGTGAAAAACTGAGGGTGGGTAGTGGGTGGCTGAAGTTGTGTATGCTTGGACTTTTTTTCTGAAAGGAAGAGGGTAAAGCAGCCGTGGATAGAGCTTTTGAATACACAGGAGGTGTCACGCGTGGCTCCTCACTGAGATTTTCTTCTTGGAAAGAAGAGGAACCTTTCTCCTCGACGCGCATCTCTCTCTCTCTCATGCTGTGCTAAAAGGGCGGGGGAAGAGCGCGCACGTTCTATTGGGCTAGCCACTCGGCACTTCCCAGCGCTCCGGGCCGTTAGGAGTAGTTACTGATCCGTCGGCTTTCTGTGCCCCTCCCCCTTTCTTTTTCTCCCCTCCCTACCCCGCCCCCTTCGCCCCCCTCGCCCCCCTCTCCTCCCTCTCCTCTCGATCTAAATTCACAGGCTGGAGTACGCGTGCGCTTGTTCAGCTCCCAGGCGAGCGCGAGCTTGGGCTCGTTCCTCGCTCTTCCGAACCCCGCCCGCTCTTTACCTACCGGCGGTAGTTGGCCCGGTGGGCTCGTGGGGAGACACTCGCGCGCGCAAGCGCACACGACGAGGAGCGGAGCTCCAGACATCGTGGAGGGGAGTAAGAAGCATCGGAGGCGATAGAGGAGGAGGCAGCGTGTGCGTATGTATGTGTTCTACGGTGTGGCTCTTCGAGGGGCGAGGGGAGGTTTAAAAGAGAACGAAGGAGAAGCGAAAAGAGTCGGAGTCTCCCTCTGCGAGAGCCTCTGATCTGGTGAGGGTCCCGGGCCGGCAGGAGCGCTGGGAGAGAGGGAGGAGGCCGGGGGGCGTGTCTGGGATCGGGCTGAGAGATGAATGGGCCGGGGATGAATGGAGGGAGCCAGCGGCGGCCAAGAGTCTGTTAAGAGTAAGCGCCCTAGTCGGGGGCGGTTTGACCGAGACGAGGTGATTGCCGTCCCCAAGAGGTATGAGATGAGGCCAGGCTTGGGACTTAGAGGTTGTCGGAGCTGTTGTCGGTGTGAGCAAACAGGCGGAGAGGAAAATTAAGAGAGGGAAAGTGGGGAAGGGCAGGTTTGAGGTTGAGATGCGTTTTTTGTCTTTTTTGTTTTTGTTGAGGGTGGCAACTTTGGGAGTTGATGGAGGACCTAGGGGACGGAAGGTGAGGAGGATACGGGCTGCGTGGCGGGAGATGGTTGACAAAGGGCTGAGTGATCTTTTAAATGAGATTGAGGTTACTGAAAGGCAAGAACGCTTCGGGTATGGGAAGTTGGGTTTCAGTGGGTAATGGGGTGGGGGAGAGTGGATTTAATTTAGAGATTCAGTTAATGTGTGAAGGTCGGTAGAACTGGATCGGGGTAAGGGATACTGCTGACTCGTTGTGTAAATGGGATAGGTTCAAGGAGATTGAGAGGTGTTATTTGGGATCGGGTGGTGTGTTCTGTGACTGACAGGTTGGGGATGAGGAGATGGTATGATGGTGTTGGGATAAAAGTGGTGATCTGACTTCACTGTACTGAAAGAGGTTTTGTTTTACTAGTTAAGAGTGGTGGGACATTCATGTAGTGGGGTATGGGTGGAAGTCCTGCACGTTTATGTCTCCGTATCTTGGGAATTGATGGATGTTGTTAAAAATTAAAGTGAACCCTCAAAACAGATAGGAATGGTATGGCTAGCCCTTCTTAAGAGTTACTGCTGACTGACAATTGTATGAGTAATAGCCTTTAAAGTTGTGGAAATCTTCTGTGCAATAGTGATTGCATCCAATTTTGGGAGGCATCGTTACGTGTTTTTCATCTATAATAAATTCTAACACCAAGAAAACTTTTGAAGAGGTCTCAGTATACGACACAGAACAGCATGTGTCTTTTAACAGTCTCTGTACTGTGGATTGACGAGTTTAAAAATTGTTAAAACCCAACAGTCCAAAAGAAAGTTACCTTGCATTTAAGAGTAGCTAACATGCAGTGAAGTGGATTTTGAGTGCTGAATACATGATTTTTTTGGTCATTCTTAATTTACATTGGTTGGAAAATTGGCACTTGATTTTTTTATATGTGTTTAAATTACAGCAGATTACTTCAACATTTTGTTCTTGGAATACATTACTTATCTGGTAAGGATGTCTTGTGATGGTCTTAGCCTGTTCTGGGTCCAGATTAATAGTTTATGGATTTTAAAGTTTTCATGATTACTCTACAAAATTTATGGATGTATTCATTTACTTTGGAAATATTGCAAATTCGAGAACATTCTTATGCTTTTTTCTTATTCTGGTATGGTGTTGGAAAATAATCCTTGTTTTTGGCTAACCCAGGGTTAAGAGAATACTTAGTTACTAAATGGTACAGTACAAGTATCAAAGCATGGTGGCAGCCTGTAAATGTTGCATGCACTCTCACAGGCAAGGTATTCTCCCTGTTTTGAACTAGATGTTCCTGGAGTAGAACATTCAAGTGTTTTTTGAAAGAGTAAACATTGTATATTTGGGGACTAGAAGGAGATAAAGCTGGAATCTTAGATGGAGCCCGGGTTAAGAACTACCCTGAAGAGTTAGGAGCCCTTAACTATTTAAAAACGGGAGAAACATGAGCAGATTTCTGGTGTTTATCTCATTGTCTTTGCTTCTTATGCCCCCCAACCCCCACCTGGAATGCCTCTCTTCCCCTCCCTGTGAATTTGAATTCATTAGCTGTTCCTGAAAGCTTTTCCTGCTCCCCCTTTTTTTTTCTGGGCAGCATACACCAAGGTAGGTTATGAACCCATCTTTAGTAGTCCCAACATACCTTGTACATATTTTTATTACTGTACTTCTTTTGGGAGACAAGCAGAAAAGTTATTTACCTTTTTATATCTGAGAGAGAAAATAAAGCTCAGAAAATTAAGACTTGCCCTGGTAGTTAAATTTCTGTAATGTGTACTTTAATGTTCCTTTGTGAAGTAGAGGGATTTTTTTCATTAAGGCATCCCATCCTTTAGCCAGTAAATGATAAAGCCAATGATTACAATGAACCAGAGTCAAGTAAAGAAAATGAGACCTGTTATAGTACTATCAGATTCCTAATGAGGTAATTTACTAAAAATTAATTCACAGAGGGCCAAAATTTTGTGTATATTTGTGTGTGTGTGTGTGTGTGTGTGTGTGTGTGTGTGTAAGGAAAAAAACCCCTTCCTTTCTCAGTCTTCTATCTTAGTATAAGTAGACCAGCTGCATTTGCAGATATACTTGATTATGTCTCTTGGCTAAGAGCCAGAATACTTTCAGAAGGGTGGGTCTTTTCCATTTTGGTTTGAAATCATAAAATTTATGGTGCTGTTAGGAGATATTTGGTGACTGTAAAGGTCATCTATAAGACATTCATTCAGAAATTCCCAAAGCTTCAAAAGAAGAATCTGATGCCATTTTTAATTGTTTAATAGATCTTGTCATGAGATAATTGATTTAAAAACATACTGAGATTTACTTACTACAGAAATGAGCCTTTAATGCCCCCTTTTTCCAGGGCTATATAATTTTTTCATCAACTTTTAAAAATAGAAATATAGTAATATTGTTTCCTGTGTTTTTGCCTGATAACTTTTTTATTGTGATAAAATTCACATAATATAAAATTTACCATTTAGAGCATACAGTTCAGTAGCATTAAGTACCTCATGACGTCGCACATCTAGTTCCCAAACATTTTTATCACCCCAAAAGCAAACCCTGTACCCATTAAGCAGTCACTTCCCATTGCCCTTTTCTCCCAGCCCCTGGCAACCACTAATATGCTTTCTCTATGGATTGCCTATTCTCGATATTTTGTGTAAATGAAATCATACAATGCATGGCTTTTTGGTCTGGCTTCTTTTACTTTGCATATTCTTGAGGGTCACTCCACATTGTGACATATATCAGTATTTCATTCTTTTTATTCAATAATATTGGATTGTATGTATAAATACATATTGTTTATTCATCAGTTCATAGACATTTGGGATTTTCATTCTTTTGACTTTTTGTTTCCATGTCACTTTATTAAAGTTTTGAGCTGTTACTTGCAAAAATTATTAAACATACAGAGAAATGTTATTGTCATTGGATTTTGTATATTTGATTGAAAACTATTTATTTTGAGTTTAAATTTTTTTTTTTAAGAGAGAGGGGAAGGGTGGGAGAGAGGGAAGGAGAGAGAGATTTATGTGTGTGAGAGAAACATCAATCGATTGCCTCCAGCACGTCCCCTCCTGGGGACCTGTCCTGCTACCCAGGCATGTGTCCTGACTGGGAATTAACCTGACAACACTTTGGTTTGCAGAAGGATGCGCAGTCCACTGAGCCACACCAGTCAGGGCTCTATTTTATGACTTTTTCATCATATTTCAAATAAGTTTTCATTCTTTTTTAACCTTCACCTGAGAATATGTTTTTTTTAAAGATTTTATTTATTTATTTCTAGAGAGGGAAGGGAGGGAGGGAGAGAGAGAGAGAGGGAGAGAGAGGGAGAGAGAGAGAAAGAGAAACATCAATGTGTGGTTGCTGGGGGTTATGGCCTGCAACCCAGGAATGTACCCTGGCTGGGAATCGAACCTGGGACACTTTGGTTTCCAGCCCGCGCTCAATCCACTGAGCTACGCCAGCCAGGGCTAGAGAATATGTTTTTATTAACTTTAGAGAGAGATGGGGGGGACAGAAATAGAGAAAGAGAGAAACACTGATATGAGAAAGAAATATTAATCATTGCCCCCCATACGCACCCTGTTTGGGGATTGAAACTGCAACCTAGGTATGTGCTCTGACTGGGAATTGAACTCGAAACCTTTTGTTGTACAGGGTGACTCTTAAACCAACTGAGTCACCTGACCAGAGCTTCAAATAGGTTTCCAGTCCCTTGTTCTCTCTCTTCTTCTGGCACCCCCCATGATGTGAATGTTGGTACACTTGAAGTTGTTCCAGAGATTCCTATTTATATTATCCTCATTTTTTTTATTCCTTTTTCTTTCTGCTGTTCTGATGAGGTGTTTTCTGTTTCCTTATCTTCTAAATCACCAATTTGATCTTTTGATTCATCTACTCTGCTGTTGATTCTCTATTAATGAATTATTCATTTTAGTTATATTTTTCATTTCTGACTGGTCCTTATTTCATGTTTTATTTCTATTTTTTATGTTCCTTATCTCTTTGTTGAAGTTCTCACTGAGATCATTGAACATCCCTATAACTAGTGTTTTGAGCTCTGCATTTTGTAGATTGCTTGTCTCCATTTTGTTTAGCTCTTTTTCTGGAGTTGTTCTGTTCTTTCATTTGGGACATGTTTCTTTGTCTCCTCATTTTGGCTGCCTCCCTGTAGAGCTGCTGTGTCTCCTGGTCTTGGTAGAGTGCCATTACAGAGTAGTTGTCCTGTAGGGCCCAGTGGCACAGCCTCCTTGGTTACCTGAGCTGGGTGCTCCTGGTGTCCCTCCCCCTGCCAGCCATGGATGGTTGAGCCTTGATTGATGTTGGTATCCCAATGGGAGGGATTTACCCCAAGGGTGGCTGGCTACGAGAACCGGTCATAATCACCGTGGAGGATCTGCTGTGTAGGGTCCAGCCCCACGAAGCAGGACTGGCTTCTTTGAGACTCTAATACTTGCTAAGTCAGCCCCCTGAATGTGTTGCTTGTGGAGGTGGTTAGGTGGTGCTTTGGCATGGTCTGAAACTGGCCACTGTGTGCTGCCTCTGGGGCTTCCTGAGAGGTACAGGCAAAGGTCAGTCACTACCTGTGCCCTGCCCTGGGCTACTGGGTATGAGGTAACAAA